ATTCAGGAGTGACAACTGTGTCTGGAAGTCCTTGAGCCAAAAACAGCTGTAGGCTGACAGAGCATTAAGGAGACGTGATACAAGCCAGCCCTGTGCCCAAGCTCTTCTTTCAGCATCCATCTCCCAATCACTGCTAGGATGGAGGGTACTGCAGGAGGCGGGCCCCCGTTTGACCTGGCACAGATGTGCTGAGCAGCAGTTCCCTCCCCACAGTGCTGTGCCACCTGTGGTAAACACTCCTCCACAGCTCAGCAAGGATAAAATACTTTCCTGTCTTCCAGGGGCTCTGTGAAGATTCATAGCACCGAGCGTCATGGCAAGCTCCCTGATTCCTCACAGATTATGAACTCAGGTATATAATATTTGGTAGATGCTTTTCATCCAATTCTCAGATCCCTACTAGGATTTATCCCTTCTCCCTGCTGCTTCCAAAGGAATAGAGACAGACCCTCAGCACACGCCAAAAACAGGCCCAGAAAGTACGTAACTCCAGAGGCCCTTCACACAGCTGGTTGGTCTCCCAGCATCCAGCTCCTTAGTGAACTGGTTGGGCAGAGCTTTCTGAAGCTGGGTAGCACAGCTACTGAACGGACCTCAAAACTTATTCACAGATCTCGACTGAAGCCAGCAGTGCCAACACAGCCCTCACGGCGCGGGAACACCCCCCGCTGCACTGCCCGGGCCAGCAGGTGGGACAGGCCCGTCCTTGCAGGGCCTCGCTGAAATGCGGGTCTTCCATCCGAGGGGAAAAAGGAAAGAAGACAGAAACTCAGCGACAACTTTCCCTTCTCTCCGTTTCTGAACCGCAACGGCTTACTCGGCATGTAAACCCAAGCCGTGCAGGTCCCAGGGCCGGGAGAGCCGTCCCTCCTCGTGCGGGCGGAATGGCAAAAAGGCGCAACCAGACGGTGCTTCGACTCCCAGTTTCCTCAGGGAATGCCATCCTGCGTCCCGCCGCGGGAGCTCCTCAGGCAGCCCGGCTGCGAGCTGTGCCAGCGCTGAGCGCCGAGGCAATGCCCACCAGCCCCCCGACCAGGGGTCTTGTTGCCCCGCTCCCCTGGAGACGCGTCTGCCGGGAATTCCGGCAGCAGGGAAAAAAAAAAAAACAGGGGCACCGCCGGGACGGGGGGGCACATCGCTCTCATCCTTCCCCCCCGCACAGGGACACCCCCCGAGGGCTGGGGCGGCCCCGGCGGCCCCGGGGG